GATGTCCGGTCGGTCGGATGCTTTCTCTCCAGGGCGTAAGTTTTCCTTGATCTCAGGCCAGTTCGGGTTGCATGTCATCGTAATGAACAGGTTCGGGGCTCCTGTTTCACGGACGATAGCCATGGCATCCAAGAAGCGTTGGTACATGTAGCGGGGACCACCTGTAAACTTCGGAGGTATAATTATCTTGCGTCCAACCTCACCCGCATCTGGCTCCGCCGACTCCTGCTCCGTATAATTCCCACGCCGAGTCCTACGTATGGCCGCCTCGTCGTCAGCTGCCATTCTGTGGATTTCAACAGACTCGCCACGCAACGCGTCCGTGAGTCCCTGGAGGGTTTCCAATCGATACTGGAGCTGGTTCTTCTTGATGAAGCGCAGGCGCTCTTGTTCGCATTTGGCCCATTGGTCAACGCAGTATTGCTGCGTCAGTCGCCCACCGCGCAGGATAAGCGAATTACTAACCGTCCGGTCGTAAAGCAGATACGCCTCATATTCCCGAACGGACATGGTTAAGGGGTCACCGTGGCGATCGACGGGATTACCAACGTAGGGGATATCGTAAGTCCAGCCATTATCCCCGTACGGAAACAGTAGAGGGTACTGCAGCGGGTCGTAGGTAACGCTCGTCTCAAAGATGCGCTTGAAACCTCCTCCTGTCGTGTGTAGGATTATATCCCGATGTTCAGCCGCGTTTGTATCGATCACAACGGCTGCCACCTCCGATGCCGTTGGGGTGTTATGCGTACCCGGATTCGCATTCCGTGTCACGTGCAGACGCAGCTTAAGGTGATCCCCCTCCGGAAGAAAATTACTCAAGGCTAACGACGGGTCATGGTCATCAACGTCTTCCCCTGCCTCTCGGCGTCGTTCGTGCTCCCTGATGGCTGCTGCATACGCATCCCAACCACGATCTATCAAAAATCTACGCGCGTTGATAAATTCTTGTGTGTACGGGTTGTGCGCCACCATCATTTGGTCAATCGTTTCCATAACGGCGCGATCGAGGCCTTGGGTCATGTTCATACGGCTTCTCACACGGGCATCCATGTCGGGATCGTTAAAGTAAACTTGGGCATACATGGAGCGGCCGAATGCTGGAGGTAGTAACGATCCCATGCGATGACACACTGACCCTTGTACACGGAAGTTGTAGACACCATTCCGTGTCACGCTTTCGTCAACGCTTAGAGGCCGAGACCGCGAAGCTCCCATGGACGTAAAAGCGAATACGTTGTTGTAGGCCCGGATTGACCGCATGAAAGTCGGGTTTTCGAAAAGTGTTAGAAGCGCATCAGGGGCTGTTCGCGAAGTCGGAACGAACACCAGTCCGTTACGACAACAGCATCCGTCTGTCTCTTGCGGAAACTTCCAAGCGTTGCAGTAGTGACAAACTCGCTCGTTCTCCCCGTTGTCGTCAGTGTAACGCGTGAAGTAGTGGCGCCCCCCGGAAACGCTGGAAGGGTCAAAACTTTCGTGGTGTGCGAGGCCCTTCTTATACTGCCGAGACCGCCGGCGGAACCGCTCGTGCTCTTTTCGCTGATCCCTTTGTTCTTCCGTCATGGCTTCTCTTCGAGCTCTGTGCGCGGCTGCGTCCCGATCACGCTCTGCTTGACGCTGCTCATACGTCATGTCCCCTCTGTGGTCTCTCCGTGAAGCCGTATTTTGATCGCGCTCAGATTGGCGCTGCTCATACGCCATGCCCCCTCTGTGGTCTCTCCGTGAAGCCGTATTTTGATCGCGCTCAGATTGACGCTGCTCATCTGACATGCCTTCCCGGCGAGCTTCGTGCTCCACTGCATCGCGAATCCTTGCATTTTGACTGGCCTCCTCTGGTCTTGTGGCTCTGTGGTTGGCTTGCGCGTCGCGGCTATATGCTCGATGAACCGAGAGGTCTTCTGGCTCCAGTCGACCCCGTCGGACCCTCGCTTGTTCGGCATTTCGGCCGCGGTCTCGAATAGCCTGGGATTCGGATCTGTTAGCTCTGCGTATGCGCTTTCTCTCCGCGTCTTTCTCTCGTGCCCGTTGTTTTTGTGAGCTCGTCATAGCAGCTCGCCTGACGCGGGCTCTTTCTGCATCACGCGCACGTGTAGCTGCTGCGCTATCGTCGACCGTAGGTCCTGACATTCCAATCTGAAAGTCGTGGGTATCGTGTTGCCTGTCGCGACGCGTCTCCTCCTCGAATCGTCGTTGATGCTCCGCAGGATCGTCTTCTTCCGTTTTCTCCTCACGCTCTACCGCCGGACCAGAAGCTCTCATCTGTCCGGATTCAGTTGGTGCTGGGGTTTCAACTAACTCGAGCTGCTCCAATTCTTGGATTGCCTTGCGGTAGCGGGCCTCTGCGCTACGAAGCCTCTGTTTACGGAGATGTCTTTCCTTACGCGACTCTTCGTGGGATTGGGATGCGTTCTCACGCCGGGCTCGTTGTACGCGATCATCTAGTTCCTCGCGGGTAATTCTAATCATTGAACAGAGTTAGTCTAGTTAATTGTACAGCAAAGCCCGCTACTCAGTTGTTGGGAAACCTTTTCCTTTTCCTCGGGGCTCTTGCCATGGCCTCGTATCTTGAGCTGGACTGTCGCCTGATTTAGACAGAACAAAATCACATTGGCTGTTAGACTCGAAAGTCTAAGTGCACTGGGAGCTACTTTACAGCTATTTCATGAATATAAGCACCAGAACATGGACACAGCAGCTTAAGCAACGTGGTATTCGAATAGAGCCCCGAACTTTCCTTTCCAGTACTAATCCAGAAGCCCTCTGTGAATAGAACACACCACTGTCATTTCCATCCCGGCTCCTCGGATTACAAACAACTTAGGGGTATCGTCACTCTAGGGGGCTTGTTGGTCCAGTCAGCTTTTGCTTAGGCCCTCCCCTTGGCCGACGTGTTACAGCCCTCAGCTCACGTTCCGCGGGCCCAAATTACCTTGCACCGCTGTGGACCAAGCAGCTGTACATGCTAATTCAGACGCCGCATCGCGCTGTTGCCTCTTGGGTACGTCAAAGCTGTTGCCTCATCCCTGTTGAGTGGTTGCCCAGGTCTGTTCGATACCGTCCAGCCCTTCAGGTCATATCCGTAGTATGCACAGGGTGTCCGAGAACGACCCAGCCCCTCACGGGGCTCACACAGTTCCGAAAATGCTCTAAAACTGTCTATTATGACGCTATGCTATCTAAGTGTACAGGCGCGGGGCTCACTCATGCTCTTAAAGTGTTTTTTTGTCTTGATCTCTTGTTCTTGAGCTGTCCTTGCACTTGGTCTTGGGCTCCTTGCTCTTGTGAGACCGACTGCTGCATTCCTTTCCGTCCCGCCAGAAGTGCTCTCGCAAAGTGTGTTTTGATGTGGGAGCTCACACTTTAAGAGCACCTCTGTATTGCGGGACTGTAACGATTCTTCCGCATGTGGCTGCAACTTCGGTTTGGCCAATTGGCAGCACGCGCCACTCGCTTTTGGAGCGTGGACACTCGCGGTGGGTCTAGGACCCCTAGGCGCGTGCATGGTGGTAGACGCTCCCAGTCACACCCACCCCAACCTGATTGCTATCGCTACCAACTGCCATACCACTTTGGAGTCTCGGGGCAAGCCTCAGACTGTATCCTGAGAGGTCTCTCTTGAAAATAAAGTAGGGCAAGGAGCCCCACGCCCGTACATACATGCATATACATCTAAAACTACCCTACTGCTATTATACAGCCAGCGCACCTTGTCCTCTCCGCGCCGTCGCTCAAAAATCCGATTTTGTGTTTTGAATGAAAAGTGAGTCGAAAAATATTGCCCAATCAGGGCGCGAGTTAATTGTGTCACGCTTTTGGATATAATTGTAATTTTGGCATAGTGAGGTCGAGTCAGAAAGATAGGCGCGGTCGGTACGATGGAAAAAACTCTATTGGAAAGGCCGAGTGTAGCCATGCGAAAAGGCAGGAAAATACAGCAAGAAAGGAACCGGACGGACTTATTGACAGACGGACGGACAGGTTACAAGGTTAGGGAGCGGGAAATGTACAGTACTTCACCCCGTTTCCGCGCCCTTGGACCTTTGATAAACTTCCGGATGTGATGCTCTTGAATCGAAATGAACTATTGATTGCTAGCCAAAATCTGATTTATTTGCAAATCCTATATGGTCTACCCCTTATGTGATTGGCGACGCTCGGTCATTGGCGACAAATCCAGCAGCCAATCAAATTGATTTAAATTTCGTGTCGTCGCGCTTTATGTGCAATGTAATTTTGAGCATGTACCGGTAATACAGTCGTGCACCTCGTATTCGGCGGGGTGGAACATATAGAGTCTACGAGCTGCGAATATTTATAGAGGAGCAGATGAAATCCAAATGTACTACTTTGTATTACCTTAATTAAGTACAAATCATAAATCCATCTTCGACACAATACCAGTGTGATTCTCACAGTTTCGTATGGTCAATGTCGATACGTCTTGCCAACCTTCTGAGCACCACTTCATTGCTGTATAAATATTGACCTTTGTAAAACAGAGACAGTGTCCATGATGGCTCTGTATGGTGAAGTGATTGAGCTGATACATCGTGGCGGAAGTGCGGCGTTTCATCCCTCCTTGAGGTTATTTGGTCCAAAGGAGATGGGCAACTCATTTGCGCAATGCATGTGGCCCAATCATTAGATTGTGCAGGTTATTAAGCCATACCGGGGCCGAAAACGAGGTGCACGACTGTATAGTTTTTCTAAGCAGGTATCTTTTATGCTGGCAGAAAGGCTGGACCACCTCAAGAATTTGACTGTCGCCAATCACATAAGGAATACGGTACTTCAAAGTACGTTCTATAAAACATGTAAAAGAGCGAATTTATCTTAAAGATAGGCCTGAGTTTACGTACACCGACCGGTAATCATGAAGAGAGATGTTCTCTCAGATTCTTTTCATTTCGGAGCTCAATGCGGTCGATATCGCCAGCACCATTCTTCAATTCGCAACACAGTTCACAACTGCCGTCCTCTGAAGTGAACCCGACTGAGTCATGCGCCTTAGTTACATCCTCGTAGTGGTGATTGCAGTCACTCTACAGGCCTGCGTCTGTGCTATCCCCGTCATAAAAGAAGCCAACCAGGTCATGCTCGCTAATGGACCACTACCTAGCATCGTCAATACGGAGGGTGGGCGACTTTTGCGTGGCGTCAAGAAGCGTACAGCGGAGAGAGAAGTGCAGGAAGAGAGGATGTCTGGCGCGAAACTCAGCGAAAAGGGGAAACAATTCTTAAAATGGTTTTTTCGTGGCAGCGATACACGCGTTAAAGGCAGAAGCTGGAGATAAGCGTTGGGACACGGCGAGAAACAGTGAGGTTGATCTGGCGGTTCTCATTTCGGCTGCACCTTGCAACTTTTGTTCTGACCTCATAAAAATGAAGCCAACTTTGTCCATTCTTCGGTCACATCATCACCTTACTGAAAAACAATTCTATTACTATGAAAAAGCTATTGCTGGTCATGCTCCACTTTGCACAGACAGGTATGCTCTCATGTTGTCGACACTCGTGAAAACCGGCACAGGATGAAGGTATTAAAACGGAAACGCGACTAAATTTTTTGGCCGTTTACAGCGGGAAATTACACACTACTGAGTCTGTACTTTGGGCAGGAATTATTTTTCTATGTAACCTTCGCATTTTTTTTATTCGGGGAACGCAATAAACAAATACTACAGTACATCAGCGCAAGACACAAATTAAAAAGAATACTCAAATACCACACTTGATAAATAAATAAAAAAAGTTGCGCTTTTAGAAAAAGGTCCTTCACTGGCGACCCGGAGTCGAGGTCTCTTACAGCCCATAGAGCTTGTAATACCATGAACCGTAACGCTGTCTGAAATTGCTGAACTCGGCAGGGATTGGGACGACCTTGGGGCTATATTTCCTCGCCAACTTCCAGAACAACCGCTCCACGCTCGATTTATGTAGTGACGATAGTGTCATATTCTCTGCATGCCGCGAAAAGGACTCGAGACTCGAGTGACTCAGGAGTCGCTTTATCCTTTCCTCATCTTCCATCTCGTCACAGTGTATCTCGTTCGCGTGGTGACGCAAGAAACTCTTTCCTCCATCAACACCATGGTCTAAATCAACGGAAGCAATTGTATATGGCGATACCAGCATCAACCCGCTAAAAGTTCCACCGTAGGCTGCGGCTTCAGCGTTAGTGCTTGTCAGGAGAACGGCTATTGAAGCGACGGCAAAGACGCGGGAAACATGCATTGTCAACTGGTTTGCTTTAGGTTTCCAGCGACCCTGCTGAGCTCTCGACAAACTGAAGAATGGATGCAATTAGATACAAAATGCGTTGACAGTCTGTGGGTGCGGCACAAACAAACAGCAAATATTTCCCGTATACTTGCTTGATGGCGTTCGTTACAGATGGAACTACAGCTAGCCTGGTGAGATCCTGGTACTGCACGCTTGCTTTCCATTCTGCATCTTTTTGGTGGAGCTCGCTTCTTTTATTTTTTTGCAGAATAAAGCATAATATATGGTACATTTCAGCATGCATGATTCTCTATGAAGAAGAGTTACAGTGAATATATAAATTGAATTGATCCAGCATTACTGCTGGTACATGAATGTTGCCTTTCATTAAACACGAATAGGGTCGTGCAATGTCGTCCAGCAGTCCCTGTTGACCCAGCTAACCCTCAAGATCGGCTAGTGCAGGACGTACGAAAATTCTTGCGTGCATTCGAGTTATGGGAACGATTGGATATAAAGTGCGCTTAGTGCACATTTTCAGTGAATTTGATTCTCACACCTGTTTTTTTGTTTGCTCGTACAGGCGTTGACGCGACACTTTTAGTAAGCGATTGATTATGCGACAGAAATGGTAATCGGTTATGCGACACTGTCTTAGATGCATTAAATTATAATTGAGTGCTGTGCAACCAATTTATACCTCCGACCTTGTAGAAAATAGGCGCTGTCAACGGACGGTTGATTCATAGCTACACTCCTAACTTAATGTTGAGGTCTGTCAAATTATAATCAGGAAGGAGTTCTATCAGCCAGTCTAAGCCTAAATCAACCCTTTACAGTACTGAGTCTTAGCCTTACAAGGTCGTGCGCGACTTGGACATGTAGAGAAGCCGATGAGCTCCGGACTCAGCCTTGAAGCCCCAAACGTTCGTTTTTTAATCTGGCTGAGGAGACTTTTTAATTTACCCCCTCTACAGTTTTCATTGCCCACTAAAAGTGATCTCGGCGGATTTCGCCGATGATGGTGTCCGTGAGCTGCAACGATTAGCACACAGCACTGCTGCGACAGCACGACGGAAAAGTTGAGCCTCAAATTGGGGCACTTGAGAACCACGTTGGGGAGGAGAAGAGGCTCTTGCGAGGCCGCAAAGTGGTGGACGATGAAGACGACGACTATGGCATCTCCGATATCGACGATGACGACGAGGAAGAGAGGAAGGGCGGTGCTAACCTCTTTTCCAGCTCAAAGCTTGACCAAACGCTGAGCGGAGTCAAGGAGTTCAAGAGATACAAGAATTTGAATGCATACGGCTATTCCCCGAGCACGCTTTAAAGCAAGCTGGAACGTCTGTACGGCGACAGATACAGAAACCTCTGGCAGAGATACCGCGCCAACTACTACACCATCTAAGACTGCTACACGTGTCGGCAAGTCCTGTAGTCTGCGTCAGGTTAGCACGAGTCTGACTGACTCACGACATTACTACAATTTTCCTACTCTGACGGATAGCAACAATAAAAAGATGCATCTACAGATATTCCTCACGATTATGCAGCGTTAGCTGGTGTAGTTAAGTCTTCCTTTGTCGATTAAATTTTCAGGACTCCGATTGTTTGCTTCATGAACAAGAGCAAATGCATGTAGTTGCTAAATGATGGTGGGGGCGATTGGCACGTAAATGATCGTCACCACAAGAGAATTAATAATATATTAAGACTTTGGTAACGAAGGATACCCAGCCTGACTACAGTAGTACTTCCTCTGTCCGGAAATCTTAAGAACTAGAATAAAGCCTAAACTAAACTTAAATAATTGTGCATAGTTTTGCGGATTGCTGTGAAAATTCTCAAATATTTAATTTACATGAAACCTATCCAAAGGAAGCATCTAGTATTTTATTAAATCAATACTAGGAGTCTGACATTATTTCAGTTTTCAGTAATCCTTGGAAAAAACTTAAAGCACTTATCAAAATACCAAAAAAAAACTAAAACAAAAATAATTATTTTTAAAAGCTGAAAAATATAAATAATTTTAAAAATCAGCTAATGGTGGGATACCTGCTAGTGAAAAAAAAATTATAATAGTAATAACAGCAATCGTTCGGCTAATAAAGTGTAATTTTACTACCTGTACTTAAGTTTGAAACATAAACCTCACACCTTGAGCAAACAAACCACGAATCGTGCGAGAAATTGGTTTGTATGTAATATAAATAAAATCCCAAACCACAATTACTGTCGGCGCTGGTTTGCGGTAACATAAATCTAATTTTCAAGCCAAAGAGCCTGTTTGGAGTTCCGCACGGTTATAGGCTTGAATATCCTACGCTACAAGTGAGTGCGTCAGAAGATCGCACCCTCCCTGCAAAGCCGCACCCTTTCAAGATACTTAGCTGTTTTCCTTAATGCCGTGACGGGTGAGAGCTATGTGGTATCGATCATTTCAAAAAATTCCTTGTCGTTTCCAGCAATTCCACCAGCACCAGGCCTGACAAACTTACATAAAGCTGCTTAGATTTGTGGAGGAGAACGTGCAGCTAAGCCAACGTCAACAAATACTTTGAGCCCCGGTGCTACTATTCCAGTGCCTCCACATGTGACTCAAGCTATTCGCGATTACGTCCCTCTCGACGGCTTTACTGTGGTTTAAAGCGCAGGGGGGGGCACTACATTATTCTTGACTGGGGTGTTCGTGTCTCAGCTCAACTGGATGACAAGGAGTACGTTGGCTGGATCTGCCTAAGAAGTCATGAATGTCGCCTTCAAAACAAAGTTATCCAGCTTGTACGGCAACACCTCAAAGGGTACAAAGCATTTGGGGGAAGAACATTTGCTCATTGCCACGAAAGTGACTGTCGAGAACGAAAGAAAAAGAAGCCGTGCGGAGCAACTTGATCGAATTAGAAATGTTGTTGTGACCGGAGATGACAGCAGACGCATTAATTTACTCCTCGAGACTATGCTTGCCGTAAACAACAACCTCCCGTTTCGAATCGGAGAGTACGAGGAATCAGAGCTTCTTGCGGACTTCACGCTCGGGGACGCGTTTCGTGTCACTATCAACAATCACGTTGTTACGAGGTTGATTGCCGAGGTGTATTCTAGCGCCAGAACATCCGCGTGTGATTACATAGACCGCAGCGGGGTCGTTGGCGTACCGACGTTCACAGTGGTGTGCGATATGTTGGCATCAAAAACCCAGAAATCTACCAAATATATTGGCCTTCGACTGTACTTTGTTGACAGCGAGTGGAAATTTCAGTCAATTCTACTGGGAACCCGCCATTACGAACATATGTAAGATGAGAGGAGTAAGGGGAATCGTGAGCCTTGAAAGCGGTAGATTCCCGAGCTACTGAAGGATTTTCAACTTGCGGTTAGAGGTCTGTATGGCTCCACCAGCGATAGCGGTTCAGACATCAAGTGGATGATGAAGACAGGCCTTGGACTCCAGTAAGAGTGGTGCATGCCTCATCTCACAAATGCCGCAGCCAAATTTGCATTTGGTATTGTCCCGCAGCGCCAAAGCCCAAAACACGCTGAAGGAACGGATTGCTTTCCCGTTTTACACGTACCACACTTGCCATTCGCTCTAATGCGAGTATACGAAGTCTTTTCGCGGCGCTTTGTGAGATGGCAAACAACGGTTCTTTGCATCATCTTGGAGCAGCGTTGGCAAAGGCCTAGGGTTTCGGCACAAAGCGTAAAGTCCGGCCGGGTCCTTTGGCCTTTAAATGTGGCACAAGGCATTTTTCGTTGATTCGGCCACGAGTCACAATGGTTCGTTTTACTTAAAATACTACAAATAGTATAAAACCTGTCAGCCAACACTCGCCTGGCATAACTCTTAAGAGTCCGATGCGCGGCGGCGACGGAAACGAAGATCGAGCGCTCTCGACGGACGATAACGCAGCAAAACTAATGACAATGATTGAGAACTCCAGGTCGTTTCGCGGCCGCACCAAGCTGGTTTCCCGCCAGCTCAATGCGGCTCAGAAGGTGGAGGTGGGGTTGTTCTCTTATGATATCGTGCTGACGCTGCAACTTGGACGTGTCAGTGCAGCGTCTGCAAACGTGCACCAGTGTGGCAACAATCTTGGCTCAATTGAATACTCCTTGTCTTCTACTATGAGTAGAGTGTATTCGAAGGTCCCAGTTGTGCGTCAGCTTCAACACCATGAAGTCCTACAAATTAATCGTGCGGGACGTCTGGTAACCGCTTTCACGCTCTTACGCACACTACCCATGTTTACTGTTAGCCCCTAGCGAATAGCAATACCAACGTCCGCTGCAACCAGGCGATCTAGACAGTGAGCGTCGCGCCTTAAAGTACTTAATGCTGACAAATATCGAGAATGGAGACCGAGAAACTCTCGTGAGAATTGGAGATTATCAGTACTATGGACTTGCTGGTTTGCGTAAAGATTCCAAAGCTGCTATTCGATGGTCCAGTCGAGCAAGTGCTAAAGGAGTTGAGGTAGGAGCGTACAATGTCGGCCATAGGTACTGTATAAATTCGGCGATGGAGCTGATGTAAATGTGGAGCGAGCACAACGCTACTGTTATCGTGTACTGAAGTTATCGACGGATACTATGGCAGTGCAGTTGGCAATACTCAATTGGATGTTGACGACATATGCGAATGTTCCGACTAGCACGGCAAACACTTGGGTTCGAGGTAGTAGTAAGGCTGAAAGTTTCTTCGCCCGTGTTCTTCAGCTTTAACTGACTGATACCACCACTACTCGCTCGTTTGGGGGGCGAATAGATTCTCTAATGTGGCCTTCTGAGCACGAAATCCACGCAGCTCTTCTTGGGGGAAATCAGGGTCATTCTCGTCCGGAAATTCGCGCAAAACCGCCGTAGGGATAGCCTCAAATTCGTTGTCGTCGTCAATGCAATTACGTGGCACACTGTATTGAGCAGCAGCATACCGCAAGTCAATCTCTTCATCACGAAAAACCTCCTTCAGATATTCAGCCCAACCCTCGAGAGTTCTTCCATCGCTAATACCGTCACCAGGATCCTCTTCGTCACCGTCTTCATCCGTGCTATGCAGCGGGCCTGGTGGCGAAGGGACAAACATTATGTTGCGCCCTTCGCGAAGAATTTCACGCTCCACAGGTGATATCGGTTGCTTTTTGTTTGCATTTTGAACCGAGTTTTCCAATGATCGTTGACGAACATGCTTCGCAATGATGTGAATGTCAAGTGCTTTGCTTGATTTCATGCGGTTGCGCAGTGCTGTATAAATAAGCCCGAGCTCACTGAAAAGTCGTTCACATGTAGCAGTGTTGACAGCAATGGATAATACTGCCATCGCAAGCTTTGGTAGCATACTGTCTGGTCTTTGCTGGCCAACCCATCGCCAATATTTCCAGGGAGAGCTCTTAAATTCACTTGCTTTAGTTCTTGTGAACTTGCCTTCCATCCAGTCGAGCATATCACTTCGAATGACGCCGACATCCTCTGTAGAGAATATCCTGCGATAATAGTATACAGCAATTGAAGGAAGGCGGCCCAGCCCTGAGACCTTCGTAGTCGGCAGCGCTCGAGCGTAATCTGCATACGCTGGATGCAGTGCAAACCCCAGCATGAAGAGCGGTTGTTCACACTGCCGCCATCTTTCCTCGACACACTTGACGAGCTCATCACAACTACCAGCAATATTCCGAAATCCGAGGTAAATATCACGATAGGATATTACTACGTCACCAACAGTGTTTTCATCGCGCTGGAGTCTGTACGATGCGTACGACAACGGTGCAATAACATTTTCAGCACTAGTCAAACTTGTCCAGAAGTCGGCATCACCTAAACAGCGCAGACTCGATGGAAAGTCGCTATCCATCCCGTACTGGTGGTGGAGCATCTGAAGAGCGGTCTTTACTCGAAGAAGTGACGCGAAGCAGCCCTGCATGGAGTTCCAGCGAGTTGCACAGAGTGTTCGTAACCCAAGTGTCTTGCCGTAGAACCTCTTCATTAGCCTTCGTACGTGTTGCAGCCACTTTGCAGATGATTGGTTGATGATATTAACGGCAGCCGCTGCCTTGCCGGCTACTCCGCGAAACACCGATTGTAAAACCGATTTAACGAGATTATTAATGTCATGCGCAAAACAGCGCACAAACACGAGCTGTGGCCACCTAAGAGCCAATATACGCCGTGCACGCCCACATTGTCCGGCGTTATCAGTAATGATAGCACCAATATTCCACCCCTCGTCAAGTCCTTGTCTGATAACTTTCTCGATATCATCAGCGACTGCTAGTCCATCGTGCCGATCACCAACCGGTGTCAGTGCAAATGTTAAAATTACCCCAAAAAGTGTCAACTGGACGCCCAAATTGTGCTCTTTTGAAATGTTCATCCACACACCCGATGACAGGTTGACACGTCCACCAGTTGACGCTTGCATATCACTCAGTGCTTTTGTCTCCTTAGACCGGCAGCGCTGTGCATGCTCAACAACTACTCGGCCACCAAGTGTACGACGAGAAGGTAAAATTGCTGTCAAACCCGGGAAAATCAACTCTAAAAACCGCAGCACCGATTCCTGCTCAATAAACCGATCGGAGAGATGATTGTCCTCGTGAAGCTCGACCAATGCGCACTCAATTTGTTTAACCTCGCTCCTCGTGTACTGTCGCCTTTGTTTCTTTTTTGCTGGGGTTGGCTTTGTGCTGCTTAAAGGAAAGATGTTGCCGAGCCGCAGGTTCGTTGAGCTCGCGCTCGCTTCGCCGGACGTGACATTGGCTGGGGAGGCCGATTACACGAGCTCTGCGATCGTGTTCGTCTAGCAATTCCTTGCGAAGCTGTCGGTGATCGAGCTGCTGTCATTACTGAAGGTGTCGCAGCGGGTGTAGCCGCAGGAGTTAATGGAGGGAACGCGCGAGAAGCTGCAGTTGGCGTCGCTGCAGGACTTGGCACGGAGGACACGGAGAGTGGTGATACCGAGCGAAGCTGTGCAGACTGGTAGCTCACACATCTGAAGAGATGGCTGCGGTAGTTACGCGGCCTGCCTACTATTGGAACAGGCAGCGTGGCTGCGTCGCCATTAGAGTAGGCGGCTCTGCAATACTTGCACTCTGTGTACTTGTATCCTCCTTTTGCTTTGTCTAAGTCATCTAATGGCACGAAGTGCACGGCTTCTGGGCACTCTGGACGCCCACCGGGCATCCTCTAGACAGGGATCGGATACGCAACTGAAACGTGGTCCTGTAGTTTAAAACTGGCCGGGCCGGCAGGGGCCACTAGTTTTGGCCCCGGCCGGCCCGACCATTGCCGAACGGCCGAAACCCAGTGCCGAAACCACGTACTGGACGTTTATTGGCCGAAAGGTTTAAACCCTTCTGCCAACGCTGCTTGGAGAGCACAAGACCACCGTTTCATGGGATTGGAAAAGGTGGTCAAGCGTTTGCTGTGTAAATGGGACCAAATCGAAGACTGGTTTTAGGAGCGCACCAACAAGGACATTCGTGATCGAAAAGCAGTACCGGAGGGGTTGGCCTATGACAAAAAAACTCCTGCAGTTGTATGGATTACTCAAGCCTATTGCTAGTCTCAATACCAAGAGTCAAAAGGAAGACACAAACCAAGTTGCTGCGCTTCTGTCAGTGTTTCGACCTCGAACAGCTATTTTGGACAAGACGAAGCCTGTCAAACACAGAATTTAAGCGCCTTCTGTATTACCAAGTACACCACCTCACTCATCTAACGAAAGCAGCCCGTGCATTGCTAGCAAAGGCGTTCCATAAGAACTTTTTCGCTCGATACACAGTCCTATTGCTTTTTCGACTGACGTCCTACCTTCCAGAGATGCAAATGCTACTGCATCCTTCGTTCAAATTGAATTATGTGGTGTACACACTGTATGTGGTCAACACATCGTACTTAAAATGCACCACTCAAATTTCATTTTGCTTTCATTTTCAGCTGCGGTATGCAAGGCCACGCGAAGGGCGCTGCCTGTGCACGCGTTAATTAGCATTAATAGGAGGCGCCGACGTGCCAAAATTTGTCCAAGATCGTCAAACTTTGCAACGAGCAGCTTATTATTGATCCCGAGGAACCTCATCTTCGACTTGATGAACAAAGTGTAGCACGTAATGTGGTCTTTGTGAAAGAATCTGTGATGAGACGTTTACGATCGCTGATGATTAAGATTTTTACGAGTACCTCCGCTACCTACTAAATCACGACCCAATATCAGCCGCAGCTAGATGCCTTGACGGTAGCAATGCTGGAATTGTCAAGTCTGCAGGCGCAGACCGTGTTTTGGACGACCTTCTGGAATTCACAGAAGAGGAGGTCGTGGACGTCGTGCAGCACGACGTGCACGAAGTTCGGGTTAATGAAGAGTTTGAAAGGTGGCTACCAGATTCAACCAGACTTCGAATTTTAATGGTCAACCTGAGTCCATTCTCGCATACTGGAAGCGACGGCATGGCGAGAACAACTACCGCATTTACCGATTGCAGCACTTGTTCTTTTTGCGATCCCAGCATCGGCAGCTCAGATTGAAATATACTTTGGAATCACTGGAATGCTAGTTACGACTCATCGAACAAGTATCGCCAAACACAATATCGACATGTGCTCGTTTTTTTACCGAAGCCGCAGATTTGTCGATGTGGCTAGCTGTTAGAGACTTTCAGACGAAGAGGTAAAATAAATCATTCCAGCAAATGTACTAGTTGCCCTCAGTACGCAACAGATTGACATGTCATTCTCTGCTGAATGAGAACGCGAGATGGCACCATGCATATTTGATAGTGACTAAACGATTAGCCTATTGTTACAATACATTGATTTGATGCACTCGATCTAGCTAAAATCTCGAACCGGTCATCAAAATTGTTGTAGTAAAACAAGAGACTTCGAGACAATGACAGATATGAAACAATTGATTTATCCCGATTGGTTCTCCTGGAATTCAATGTCACTTGATCATTTCTCGCTGATGCGACGTAACTCGCGCTCTCGTTGCTGAACGCGCTCTTCAATTTGTTTATAGCGGCCACTCGAGAACGAATCAACCCTTTACCTTGATGTTCCCCCCCCCTTTTTTTTAAATCCGATTTCGTGACACGTTTTCTAGCTCGTGTTTGGCGACGCACAGGTGCTAGCTTGATATCTGGTGGCTTTGCGATCGCTTCATTTGGATTATTGTGATTGGGTTGGCCATTTGCGAGGATCTGTGCGACCCCCCTGCTAAGTTGTGCAAGGGCCGCCAACACCGTTGATCCCTCCTCTTGATTTGTCAAGAGATTTGCTTGGATTTCACCAGAAAGTTTGGGCTCGTGGATCACAGATTTCCCGATTGCGACGTGGTTTGATATCCCTATCAGATGCGCAGAAACCTCTGGGGTCATAGTTGTGAAGCTAATGGCAGGATCAGCACGATCGAGGACACGTGAAACGCTCAATGACTGCCCAGTTTGCTGCTGAGCAATTGGGCTTTGTTGAAGCTTTGTAGGAAGCTTCTCCTGTAAAAATTTCTCGCGATTAGTCTACTCATTACTTATTCGTCCACTTTCTTGAGATTTTGAATATCTTGTTCAAGTCGATGAATTTTGACTGTTGTAGTTGCTTGTGATGCGTCAATACGGGGTTGAAAATGGGTTTCCAATGATGAAGTATTCGATGTGATAGCAGCTGAAAGTTGATCGTGACTTGCTTCTTGAGCACGTTTTAAGTCTGCCGCGGTCTGCTTAAGTTTTCATCCATCTTAAGCTGTGTCCATACCTGGAAAGACTTCGTTACGTTGTCCGACTTTTTCTGCAGCTTCAGCTCGATATTATCAGCATTGGCCCTCGCGGAATTATCTGTTTGACTGCTAATTTTTATCCTGTTTTTCCATAAGCAATTCCAGGGTGCGTAGGTTTGATTGTCGCTCGTTGTCCACTACTTGTTTAGCAGCATCCAGCTTTGCATTGAGACGCTTCTCATCCAATCAGACTGAAGGTCAGCTGCAACTTTCAAGTTCATCTTGAACTTTTTTAAGTGTCGACATCAATTTCACCTCACACGTCGTCGTGTGGGCTGTGCAAATTAATTGCTGTTTCCATTGTTGCTAACGCACCGTTGACTTTAACCTCCAGCTCATTGGCTAAATATTTAACCGCAGCAGCAGCAGAAGCTTGAGAATGGCCTTGAACTTCTTGGTTGAGGCGACTAAGCACCTGTCGATTTCAGAAGCGAGCAACTCGGTTTGGTGTTTCACGGTTTCCATATAATGCGAGTGAGCATTATCGAGATAGTCACGGATGTGGCAGCCAAGACGATTCTCAGTGTCAGCAGCAGTGGTGAGGACATGGACATGGGTGTATCCGACGATCTCTTGCAATTTCTCCTCGTGTCTTACTTGTGAGTCCTGAAAACCCCTTCCGAATTCTGCGGCTGAGCCAGCTTGTGACGGGGTCACACAGCACCTTGCGCAAGAGGAAGTTATCTTCCGAGAGTATACAAACTCTCAGTGAACGGCAGTTCACAGGTCCCCTCTTTTATTAAAGAGAGCGAAGTGACCCAAATAAGGTAGATTGTAAACTGAGTATATTTATAGGTAGATTAAGTTTGGGTTTAATACAAACTGTTAGTTACCTATAGAAATGCAATGTCATTTAACCAATGGTTGGCTTTGAACGACCTTGGTACCTTGTACCAAATATCTCGGAGTATGACGTGTCATACTCCTGAAGTGTGAAGTGTCACACTTCATGTAACCAGGGTACACTTAGGGCTACGTACCCCGTTACATCCTCCCCCACTTAGGTTCGGTTTACCGACCAATCAGAATGAAGAGGTGTTCGTCACAAACTCTCATTCTCAAAGTCGAAAACCATCGACTTGGCCGCGCGAGCGCGGCGGAGGCTCACTTCACAGTTAGAGCCTCGAGCAGCAACCTGTGCGCTCTTCGTC